TCAGGGGAAAATGAGGGAATGGTGCACGACCATTCAAAAATATGACTGGGTTTCTAACGATACAAAGCTTAATGCAAATGGGTGAAGTGTCCCTTTAATGTGCCATCTCAATGATAAAGAAAATTGCTTTTATTATGCTTTACATAATGTTGTATTGTTTTTCCTTTTGGTTTGGTATATTTGTTAACAGATGAGGGTGCATGTACACATTTTGGACATTTTAGAAATTTGATCTTGAGCCTTCCACCCCTCCCATTATCAGCACTAGAATGAGCCAGAGGAACCTGATTGTTTCACAGATTATCTGTCTCATGTACTACTGTCAAAACACAGTGGGAATTTCAGCAATAATGAGAAAAAAGTTACTTTTACAAAAGTTACCTACTGCAGCTTTAAAACTTTTACCGCAGTTTTAATTTATCTATAAAATTATTTTAACTGCAAATTCTTAGGCTAGTTACAAAACTTTATTTATTTGACATTTTTAATTTATCAAATTTATCTTCCCTAATCATAAAATGTATCTGTGTCTCACAACCTGCATTCAACATAGGCTTTATTTTGAAAGTAAAACTCTTCCGTGTTCCGGTTCTTGTATAGCTTGACGCTGGCTCTTAGTTGAGGCGTGTGTTTGTTTTGTAGCCTGTCTGCGGAGTGGATGCCGGTGAGGAGCGGGTCGGTCGCACACACCGCCGGAGAGGAGCTGTCAGCAACACAGCGTCTGCTTCCCCTGGTGAAGTCCCAGCGGAGGGACACGGTAGCGGGGTTAACACCTTCGTATTAATGCCGGTTTGTCTTTAAGAGAATTATCTGACAACCATGACTTCGGTATGGAAGCGGCTCCAGCGGGTCGGAAAGAAAGCGTCCAAGTTCCAGTTTGCGGCGTCCTTTCAAGAACTGATGATAGAATGCACAAAAAAATGGTAAGTAACTTTTAGAACACTTGGATGTGGGTGTTGCGTTGTATTTGGCAAAGTCATGCTAATGTGTTCTCTCCTAGTGTGAAAGGCACTGACAGCACTGTCGCGTTTGGGAAAAGAATGTGATGCCAAACTCCATTCAGAAATATTAACAATTTTCTTTGTGGCAAAGCCATGTACGCCACAGAGAAGAATGGCCTTTAAGGGATCATTCGGACCCTGTTGCTTACGGCAACTAATATTTCTGTAAATAAAATTGAATTTATTATTGGTTCGCGTGTTATTACATCATTATTATTACTGTACGACACACACAGAAGGGCGGAAGTAAACACTGTAAAAGTTGATGCTTCTGATAAAGAATGCTGGTTCCATTTCAGCCAATTTTCTCTAGCTTTAACGATTTGTCTTGGTTGTCGACTATTCGGCGTACGTGCCATGTGTTTGAATGAAAATTAATCTGTGAATTGTGTTGTTAGAATGCTTATATTATGCAAATAAGCCGACCAAATTAGTCTTTCTTACATCGAAATAAGTGACGCTCCCTCAGAGGGTACGTCCCATTACTTCCGCGTCTGCCTTTTTTACTTGGAGCACGCTGTATGTAGTTGTTACCTTGTGCTGTAGCATCTTCTTGACTATGGCAGTCTGGATTAATGCTAAAGTTATAACCAGGTTGTAGGAAAGAGTGATGATGTCTGACAGAGCAGTGACTATCAGGTAGACAAAGGATGTGGTCATCTCCACCACCATCAGCACCACCAGGGCTGCAGCCAGGATTTCACTACAATGAGGTCATAAACCCTTCAGTGCCACCCCACCCACCAATGCAATTTCTGACTAGTCACCATGGCCGGATGTTAGGGGGCCCAGGACACAACTTTTTGTGCCAGTATTCTTCCACCTAGTACTGCTACGAGCAGTGTTGGGAGTAATGTTTTATTTTGGCAGTAAATAGTAACCACTAATGTAACAAATTACATTTTGAAATTAAATAACAAAAATACAATCACTAAAATGAGCTTCTTACTCATTACTATTGTCTTACCTGAAAATACTTAACATCGTAGAAGACAGCAGACAAATGCAGTGCATCTGAGCATACCCCCTTGATTTTCCCCTTGGATGTGTAAAGAGATCCGGATACAGCGTTGATGGCGGCGCTCTGTTCATTCCTATGACAGCTGCTCACTAAACCACTTCCTGCTGCTAAGGAATTACCTGGATGAATACATACTGACACCAGAGAATTCCCCTGCTCGAGCTGGCTAACTTCCCTCTGTTAACTTGAATAGCGATACATATTTTAATCTCGCAAATCCTCTAGACTTTAAAACGTTATTGGAGTGAATGGATCCAATTCAGAATCTGTCGTTTTGTGGGGGTTGAGACGCTAGAAAATATATATCCACCGTTTTACAGCTGCTTCTTTTACAATGTATTTGGTCAGTGTACATCACGTGATGGAGGCTATTCAGCCCGGCCCCAGCTCCAGCCAAAGCCAACCACAAAACCTATAGGTGACGTCACTACATCCATTTTTATTTATTCAGTCTGTGAGAAAATAACTAGCTATCTAATCTACATCACTCGTTAGTTAGCTAGTTAGCATTTTGCTAAGATTTGTTTAATGATTAATTTGTCTAAGATGCAACTTCTAAATAGACAAGCCTGGCACATAGCATATCCAAGTACAGGAAAGGAAATATTTGACTGAGGTTCTGACCAAGGCTTGCTCAACAGTTATTGGAGGACAGAGGAAAAAGGGGTGGGACTTAGGAAGTTTCAATTTTGTCAAGCAGAGAGCCGCGCTGGCTGTTCTGGGGTGGGGATTATATCAATGACAAATGGTCGCCAGAATAGTTGTGCATGCACTTTAAGTCAATGAGAAGAAGCCATTCAGTGCCAGCTTTTGGTATTAGACTGTTTTTGATACTACAGACCAATACCTAGCCCTGGTCTAAAGAATGTGTTCCATACAAGTGTTTGGTCATGATTAGTCTGGGTTTTCAGTCAGAACATTAAATATGCGTCACTTTGTCATTTTCAGCATGCTCTCAGTCAGATTAAACATCAGGACAGTGACAGAAAACTCTAGGGTTGGAGAAAATAACTCAAAGTATAGGTGAGGGAGTAGATCACAATAATCATTGTTAGTGTTTGAGCTGTTGGTCTGACTGCTGCGGTCTTGGCACTGCAGGAGTTCCTTTAATTCCATTATCATTACTCACGGTGCAGTCAGCATGTGCTTCCAATCCTCCAGCCCTGGCTTGTATAGTGGCCTACCTTCCTGTCACAGTTCTGTTCTTATGAGCAGTATCATACACAACGACCAGTATCAACATGTTCTTCTGTCCCCGCTGGATCCACAGGGTGTTTATCCACACTGTGTGAGACTGTTACACTTTACTTGTTCAGTACCACAGTTATGCTGTCCCCTTAGGCACACAATAATATATGATACAAACATAAAATGTATAAGGCAGTTAAGCAGAGTGTAAATGTAAGATATATAGAACTATGTTATATGTTGTTGTGTATTTTTTTAATGGGGTCTGGTGGGACGTTTGAGGTGAGAGTCTCGAGGGAAATGTTAGCAATGACAAAAATGTAAATATTCAGGGAGAGTTTAAAATTGCTAGTTAAGTAGTAGGTTGTAAAATAATAAATAACAAATATATATTAATACATCCAAATTATGGCATTTTAAGTCACAATTTGTCATAGACATAATTTGATAACATTCTGACCACCTGGGCACCCTGGTTCACATGTCACCTGACATGTTATGTTAACACTATATGATAATTTTTTGTTAAAAAGTAAACATTTTGACTTAGTATCTCATGATTTTGACTATAAAGGACAACATTTTGACAATTTCTGACAATACTGACTCTGTATATGTATATAGTTTTTGTATCTCTGTATAAAAAAAAAGAATATCTGGGAACATGATTTTTACTTAGAAAAACTAAATTTGGACTCAGTATGTAATAATAATCTGTTGAATTTACCATCTCATAAGTCTTACTCAGAAAATGAAAAACATTTAAATTATAGCCTGATTAATAAATTGTCCAGGCTGACATATCATCCAATTATTATCATCAGGTACAGAAAGGCCATAGATATGTCTTGAAACAGTGTCACAATTGTAGGGTGTGTTCACCAGAGAGTAGTGACAAGTTTATTTTTCAACTATAAAATGTACTGGCCATCACATTTCTTGGTTGCAGTTGCACCATAAAAAAATATTGAAACCACACATCACATTTTTTAAACCTTCAATTATCCATATCAATATCAGCCTCGAAAATCAACCAGTCAGGCTGTATTTACCTCCTCATAATATTTAATAATTTTGACTTAGTAAGTCTACATTTTGGTTTATTGTCTTCTGATTATTACTTAGTTTCTTAGTGTCAGAACTTTGATTTAGGCAATGAAAGTTTACAGGGTGTACATGGGGTCTTAAAAAGTCCTAAAAACCAATGAAAAACCCCCTTGAATTTTAGGTCTTAAAATGTATTAAATGAATGAATATGAATTTGACAGCTCTTAATAGATTTATGAAGTTAATGCTATTTAGTAGTGTTAAGCTCCAGCACCTCAGTTAAATCTAACATCGGATGAGTGGTGTTTTTTTCTCTATTTTAAATGTGTTTTGGGGGAAAATTTGTATTGCTGTAATAACTACAAAAGGAAACTGACCCAAAAGCAGTTTTTCTTCAAATCCTCCATACTTTTTTTGACATAATGGTTCTAAAATAGGTCTTAAATTGCATTCATAATGGTCTGAAAACAGTCTTAAATTCAACCTGTTGATCCTCCAGAAACACTGCTTTAGTATTATAATTGTAATCAGTCCTAACTTTTCATGAATTCTTTGTCTTTCTTGGCAGAAATGGGCTTCCATAGTTTTGCAATGGTTGAATTCAATAGAAATGACACCAGAGATCTCTCAGGGCTTAAAGCCAGGTCCAGCCCTTGAAGACCATCTGGCTGTATGTGACTGCTGAAATTGTAAATGTTTGGATTTGAGTGTTTACAGCCTTGGGTTTACAGTGGTTTCAAACCCAGAGCACTTCATTTCACCTTCATTTCTTCGACAGTGTTAACTGGAGCAGCTTCTGGCGAGACTGCGCCTGTACATGTTCACACTTTATACAACATCACGTGACACTCTGAAAGCACTGAACACACAGCTCCAGCCTGAATGCAGATATATCAGTGTGCCATTGCATTGGAGTGTGTGTAAATGGTTTATATGCATTATATTGTGTGACAATAATGATTCTCATAGATGTCAGTGGAAAAGCCTGTAAAACAACATTTAGACCACTCAAACTCACTGCACTGATAACAATATGATAGATATGATCAAATATGTTCTCTTGAAGGATTAGTTCAACAATTTGGGAAATACATTTACTTGCTTTCAATATCAATCTCATGTTAAGTATGGCGCTAGAGTCAGGACATGGATAGCCTAGCTTAGCATAAAGAATGGAAGGAGGGGGAAATAGCTAGCCTCGCTCTGTAAAAAAAACAACACCTGCCAACACCTCAAACTCCTAGGTTCACTTCAGAATTACCGCTCACTTCAGCCTCCTAGGTATAACTGCTGGGACTATTTATTAACAGTGTAACAGCAGTGTATCCATCCGCCCAGTACTTATGTGCAGCTTTATCTCCAGTTGTGAGGAAAGGTTTTGGTTTTGGTCTCTGTTAGAGCTACAACTATACATCGATTATTGGATTAGTTGACTTTTAAATGAATCATCAACTATTTTCGTAATCATTTTGAGACATTATTTAGGAAAAAAATCTCTAATATCAGCTTCTCAAATGTGTATATTTTCTTCTTTCTTTAGTCAGTCAGTAAAATCATGACAGTAAACTGAATGTCTTTGGGTTACTTTGGAAAACACTGATCAACATTTTTCACAATATTCTGACATTTTATGGACGAAACAACTAATTGATTAATCAAGAAAATGATCGACAGATTAATGGATAATGAAAATAATGGTTAGTTGCAGCCTGACAGGCACGATGGTACCAAACCTGGCAACGTCATTGTGACTCCAGGAAGCTTCATACAGACACTGTGCTCGACTATTGCTAATTATTATATAGTTTCAGCACATAACTCCCTCTAAAAAGCACAAATTGTAATTTTTACTTTGGTAAAAAAGAGTTTGTGAGAAATTAATGTAACCGGAATGCATGTATCACCTTGCATTGCGTCAAACGTTGAGCCAGGTTCAGCCAGAGCCTTCTGCATGAGTACCAGCCCTGCCAGTACAGTGGTCTCATTGAAATGAATGAGGCAGCAGTGTGCTTTTGTCTTTAATTAAATTGGCCCAGCTGCAATAAATCCAGTAGTGAGGAAGAGATGTCAGCTAATCAGTCGGTACACACCCACACAGTACTAGAAGGCAGACTAATCATGCAAAATAATTGAAAACACCTACATGGGTGTGTGGGGGCTTTAAAGTTGAGCAACAAGTAAAACTCATGTGGATGTCACAGACAGTATGTTTGTGTTTCATACAGTCTGTGACAAGAATGTGTAAAATGTAGATCAGTTAGCCGAGCTGTGTCACTGAACCGATTAGCAAACTCCACCTACAGTGAAAAACACAGTCTGAGACAGAAGTTACAATCAACAACTTCCCTCACAGAGCTCAAACACTGCTGCACGGTCCACGTTTGATGTGTGTTCTCTGCTGTTCAGAAGTACACTAAAGAGCTAAAAACACTGTAGTACATTAGTAGGTCAGCCAGCAGCACAGGATCATGTCTGTGACAAATGGTGCAGCAGGTGTAGGATTGCTATTAAGCCGCTGTGAAGTTCAGCATGTTAGACGTTGTCTATTTCTGTTCTCCCACTTTCACTCTGACTGTCACAACCATTCTCTCACCAATGCACACGCTGCTTATAAGAGTCACACAACATTAGAAAGAGGCCCAGACTCTGTCCCCACTGCAGTTTGACCAGTAACTGCGTCACTAAAATGACAGCACTAATGTATATATAATATACCTACATACATACACCAATAAACTTTTATTAGACCCATCTCAAACAGTGTGACATTTAGTGAACCTCTATGATTGCTGTTATTGAACACTGTATAGAAAATATCCGGGGAAGTAGTGGAAGTCTCTATTACTGCAATGGTGTCTCCCTACGGTATGCGCACGTTTGAATGCAAGCTGTCCTAAGAAGTGTACAATGTAAAACTAACAGCATATCTTACTAAAAGAAGTACATTAAGATAACTTCATAATTAAAGCCGTTTTTGTAAATTTGTGTAGTATTTTAAGTATTAGTGATATAATTCAAGTTTGTTTTATTGACTAATTTTCTGTAAAATGACTGAAATTAACTATAATCCCTGGGATTTCTAATTTTTTCATGTTTTTATCAGTTAATAAATCATCATATGAACAAGTACGTATTGTTTTTTAAAATGTAAAGATTAGATACACATAGAAGTATGCTATTCTGAATTCTGATTCTGACTATTGCTAACAACTTAATTACAGCAGTAACAATTCAGACCTGCCGTTATTTGTCAAACCATGTAGCAACACCAGGCTAGTAAAGGAGACCTACCTTATGGTAGTTTTTACTAATATAACTGGTCTGTGATGATTAAATGCAACTCTTGATTAATTAAGCTAGCTAGCTAGCTAGCTAGCTAGTACAGTTTTATTACAGAGTACGTCGCTCGAAATATTCGACTCCATGCCATTAGGAGCATTAGGAGGAGCCAGAGGAACCTGTTATTTTCACAGATTGTCTGAGTACTACTGTCAGGCTATAGTGAAAGTTTCAGCAAATATGATAGAAAGTTATTTTTTTTTAAAGTTACCTACTGCAGCTTTAACATGAATATTCCATGACAACGTAGCAAGTTTCCTCTGCTGAGGGTGCTCTGGAAAAATTGTATTTTAAGGATTCCTACCAACCAGTCACAATATAGTGTTTTCTGTGCTCATGGCTTAAATACCTGCAGACCACATACACTAAACAAAATCAGTTTTAGTTCTATTGAAGTGTTTCCTGTTTGGAATCTCCAGCAACTCGTTGGCAGGTCAAACTTCCCCTTCGTTCAACTTGATGCAACTTGTTCAGAAATGGAGAAGTTATTATTCTAGCGTGTTTTATCACATATTTACATCATCACATTATCACTCTGATACAGTGTTTACAGTCTGGGATCGCTCTGATTGATGTTTATTTATTTCCTGCATAAGAAACATCACTTCCTTTATGAGGGCAGAGTGCTGGGAAATCTGATGGAACGGAAACGTGATGTGACCATGTCTTAGTCCAACCTTTTTCCTAAAGAGATCCCTTTTCTCTCATTAACTAACAACCCTCTAACTAAATTACATATTTTATGGATATTTCAAATAATATTGAATACATACAACAATAACAGTAGATAATCACTGATAAACTGTACAATAAACCTAAACAGTGAACAGTTTGTGTAAAAGGTAAGATTTTGATTAATTTTGAGCAGATTATTTCCTGTGAATATT